TGGTTGAGCAGCACCACAAGCCGAATCGTATTTGTCCTGAGCTCTCTTTCCTGCATCGCAATGTCATTGCTGACTGGGCGTGCGGGCTGATTGAAGGGTGTATGTGCCTAGCGCAGCGCACGGGGATGTGCGCGTGATGCTGAGAGGCATCGCGCGACTTTTCAAAGAATTCGCAAGAAGTTACGATTACTGTTTCGAGAGGCAATCGTCAGGACTGTGAGGACGGTAGCGATGGGAAGCAAGCTTTGCTTTCCAAAGCCGCGAGCGATTCCCAACAGCAAGCAGGCGCGTCGCAGACGGCACCGGAAACGTCTGGCATCACAATCGACGATGGCGAGCATTGTCACGACTTTGCGTTTCGTATACCCAGCAAGGCCACTGTGGGCGCCAGGTTGGAGCGAAGACTGTCTAAAATCCAAAGAGATCTGTCGATGTGAGGGTGCATTAGATACAAGTACAGTAGTAGGATCATTTCTAGATACAGCAAGTTTGTGTTGGGCTTGAAAAGTTCGTGAAGGAATATGTGCGCGAGCTTCTATCTTGGGACGTGCTCGTGAACTTCACTCAGGCCCACGCGGTGGGTATGGTGGCCATGCAGGCAGCCCATCGTTGCAAGCGGCCGCTTTCTTCAGGAGCAACGATTGGCAGTAGAGCAGCTCCAGCGCCGCCAGGACGGGGGTCCAGCTCAGAGAGCAACCTACCAGTACTCGGATCTCTCTGGGCTGCTTCGAAGAAGCGCGAATGGTGGTCGTGGCGGTCACCGTACGCTGCGCCAGTCGACGACTCGGGCACTTCGTCATCCTCCTCGTAACCTTGCGCCAGGGCGTGCAGCCGGGCAGCTCTTCTGCGAGCGCTGCGCGCGGCTGGGCTATCGGTTGCGCTCGACCTGGCAAAGGAGGACACGCTTGCCCTAGATGTTCGATCCGCTGCAGATGATCGGCGCGAAGCGGCAGATCGGTGAGATTGCTCCTCTTCGTACGCAAGAACGTCTTCAGCGCTGGCTTCCGCACCCAGCCTTCTTTCTCCAGCCATTCTCGAAATTCTATCTTCCGCGTCGCACCAAAACATGCTCCATGCAGGTTTGTACGTGTCCTCACCCCCAACAGATGAGGCAGCAACTTTCTTTTCCGCTTCAGAGCGCGTGTCTATTCTCATGAAACCGTTCGAGCGCTCGTAGTACCATCTGTTGACCGGATTGTCTGCGCGAGATTTCCAGACGAGATCGCGTCCAGCACCAAAACCACCAGCGCCCCCATTATCGTTGAGCGCATCGAGAAGTCCAAGTCCGTGCACCTCGTCTCTCAGAGCGCCCCAAAGGAAGTCGACAGTTCCCGAACCTTGCAGACTTGGCAAAACCGCAAACTTGTCCAGGTACGCGATGGGCTCGTCCACACCTTCCACGTCGGTTGGTGCCATCTCCCTAGTCACGATCGCAGCTCCTTGATAGTCACCAGTGACAATAACAAAGTCGCAAGATTTGGTCAAGCGCTGGTAATAGGTCTTGGCGTCGAGCTTTCTGCCGAAACTAGCTTCTAGCAAAGCAGTGAGCTTGTGTTGGTCCACCTGAGCAAAGTCGGAAAGCACCCGTACATCAAGTCCTGGTCGAATGATGGTGGGTGTATGTCTGACATCCTTGCGGCTCGCAAGGAGGCGATGCGGCAAGGAAGGCGAGTGGGCTGCTTTGTTGGTGATCAGGTTCGCAATCAGGCTTCGTGGTGATCTGTGCGAGACGACGACGCCAGAGGAAGAGTGTGGCATGTAGGAAAGGCAATCCTG